CTGCTCACATCATCATCAGAAGAGCCGTCGCTCAGCCCCCCAGCGTCAATTGCGGCCACGTATCGGTAAAGCTCCATCAACTTGCTGGACGACTTCTCGACTGCGCCCGACCAGCTGTGCGATGCGGACACTGACGTCGCGGGCGGGACCACTCTCCGCATCTTCTTGCCGCATGACGGCGTGCATGTTGAGTATGATAAGGCGCTCCTCCAGCGTGAGTGTGCGTGTGCGCTTGCTTGTAACAAAGGATCGTATTTCCGTGAGCAGTGCCGAGGTCATTGGCACGAGTGTTCGCGGTCCCATGGCTTCAACGCGAGGATGTGAAATGGACCAAAACCTAGTTAAACGATTTCGCGCTTTATGGTCTTTAACGTATTTTCTACGAAATTCATCTGTCACTATTCAACTTAGAAGGTTATTGTTTGAAAGGGTTTAGAATACATTAAAATTGGAGAGATATGGATAAAATGTGCTTGTTCTTTAATGTTCAAAGGCTATCAATTTATATAATTAAACTTGAAATGACCTCTTAAACCTACACACCAAATTTCGTCAAAATTTGATGTGGCAGCGAGCTGTGCCAGGAAGGTTGGATGCCTTCGCTCACTGTCAATCTGGTGGGTGACTCATTAACGCTGTAAAATACTACTACCAAAAGCCCACGGCTAAACGAGCCGCCACCATTGCAACATCACAGTTCCTATGAACTGATCAAGTGAGCTCTTGTTGCATCACGATCAACTGCGGACGGACGGGACATCGTTTGTAGCCTTGTCGACATGGTCGCTCGTTTGTTGCATGCAACTACTTCATTGCCGTAACATTTCCTTTGGCTCTCCGCGGGCTGACGAATAAAGTTATACATTCGTTCCTTGGTTACTCAACTTTCCAAAAATTCCATCAACGAACTCCAAAATTCCGTGATTGCTTGACCAGAGCGACCACGAAGCATCATTCACCGCCGCCGGACACACAACGGCATGCCTCCGCTACCTCCGCTCGCCGCGCTGGCTGTGGGGTGCATTGGGCAAAGTTTCCAGCTTCGATGACAAAATTCAGTCTTGAACTGGGCACGGCAGAGGGCAACACTCGACCCCTCCGCGCAATGGATGCAATCGAGCGACTTCATCTCCAACGCTGGTGATCCTTCAAGTACACCACAAACTAGAGCAACCTCGTGCTCTTGGAGCTACCGCCGTCGAGTTTACAATGGCATGTGATGTTTTCCCCGTCCGAATTTATTCACATCCTCAGGTGGCGACCAAAACCTCGTCAGCGATACGAATTTTGCGCTGCTCCCTGTTGCTGCTGTGCGCCGCATATTCGTGTGTTACCCTTGTTAGGCCATGACCTTGTTATGATGCGTCAGACCCAAGAAAACTGTGGTAACCAACCATGTTTGGCTCGTGTTCGATCACAGTGCAATCGACTCCATACAGCGCTGTGGGCTGTACAATAGCTCCACCCCGAGAGCGTGTTCGGTTGGCACCTGCTCATTCGACCAACGCCTATAAGGACCAGATCATTCAACTTCACTGGAGCTGTCGTCGGGCGTCGTTCAGGTCCACGAGGTTGTTGTTGTGACGGTCACGGGGGGAGACGCAAGCGCACAAAGGAGTAAGAAAGTTCAGGAGGCTGGTCTTCAGGGTCAGAAATTCTCAGCTTCACCAAAAGTATCACAGGGGTAGTCGAGGATCATCTAGGCTAAAAGTAAAAACTAAGGCTCGACGTCTAGTCTTTAGATCGACTATCTGTCGTCAGGTGAACTAACTTACTGTTAATGACCATCATCGTCATACTCGCCAAGGACGATCGAAGACCCGATGATAGCCCCCCCCTCAACCGTCGAGGTACCAGAGCCGCAACGCCACCCGTCATGGCCGAGTTGTACTGTACAGGGCCGCTCTTTTGTCGCGGTGTGTTTTACCGACAGGACTTCTACGGGATACCGAAGGTCCGTAGAGTGCGTGTCGGAAAGACGGTCATTGGCGACTAGTCCTGGATTAGCTAGCCCCCCAATCCGGAATTGAGGATGGGCGAGTCTACGCGAAAGCGACACCAAGTTCCGTCACCCTCATGTTGACGACCACGCTGTCGTCACGTGGGGTGCAGCGGCGGGGGTTGTGGACCTCGACCACAAGAAGCTACTGGAGTGGTCGGACCTACCTCTCCTTCGAGGGACTGGCTGTGGGCCGACTGTGTGCTTAGACGACGATAACATTTAACTTGACTTTCCATATTGCCGGGGAATACAGACTCCTGTTTGTGTTCTCTTTCTCGCCCTTGCCCACGCCACACGTACCAAGGTATTTTTGACGAAAATCCCCGTGACACTTTCCGAGGACATCGCTTTGTCTGTGGCACCGTTTCCGACACCCCTGTGTGTTCGGGCCAGACACATTCAATGTAGTGGAGCACAGGTTGCGTTTCATCGAGACCTGCTGGCACACCTCTCGTTCCAAGCGTTTCGAAAGTGCCAGCGCTCGAAGTTGGGAGCCAGCGTGCACCCCCAATGGGGGAGGCAGGCTCGACGAGGGCCCTTGCATCGGCAGTTGGATCTTGTGGCCGGACCATCGACGGTCGGGACTGGGCATGTCACGATGAACGCAACGACGTAGCCTGTACAGGACGAGGTGTTGGCAGAGTGGCAGAAGCTGTTGAGCGAAAGTGTTAGGCGAAGACGCCGACACTAACTCCTTACATGTCGTTGCGATGGATCGTTAAGTTACCCGGGGTCGTGGTGACTTCTAAGCCCTACAGGATGCCAAAGCTCGAGCGTGTAGTTGTCGCTTCAGCCAGGGCAATGTCAGCGAATGTGTCCCAGTTCGGTAATGTCACGGAGGCAAACTGGGGGCCCAGGCTCCGAAGCACCATCTCGTGTGCCAAGAGGAGTTTGGGGTTCCTGTTAGTCCACCTATTCGTGGCGTCGTGCTCAGAGTACATTTGCGGGATTTCAACGCCTTGAACGAAGTAATAATGCTACCCCAGTTTCATCGCGAGTTTTAAGTACAACGCTTTATCGTCGGCCGTGCGGCCGAGCCAGGTTCGTCGCACCAGTGGGAAGTCGTTGGGGCAATTCAGAGTGGGAAAACAATTGAAGATGAAGGGCCGACGACGAAGTCTATGTGGGTATCGCTGTAGAAATTCGAGGGCTCTGGGGGGGGCCGGGGAAGGTGTCGAAACGGTATCGTAGGAAACAATGTCGTCGTGTAAGTTGTGCCGATGGACATTGGCGATTCAACTGGAATCGACTCTGGCGACCATTGTCCGCTGGCAAAGGATGCTGTGCGTGCCGCCACGGCTTATCGCCTTCGCCATGTTCTCACATCAGTGTGGAGTCAAGATATTGCCACAATGATGATCCAGGCGACGTGATAGTTGAAAGATATTGCTTGGACATGCGCACCTGCCCCCAGGGCGTGTCTGCGCGCATGTTGCATGGTCGTGCATGGGCGTAGGTGCAACTGCTCCATGTCTCACAAAGAGAGTCGACTGTGACTGCGTCAATCGTTGGTACGCCATGAACGTTTGTTGCAGGTGCTGCAAACGCTAGGGGGTGAGGGCGCTCGTCCTTCGCGCTACTATGATGCCACGTGACACTCAAAGTGCAAACAAACTTTGGGCGGTCTGATCGCAGGTCAGATACCAACCCACTTCTTGGCCAAACGATTCCTTGAACCGGACTCGGCATAGCAGTGTGGAGAGAGCCTGCATTTCTATTGATTCTGAACATCGACAGTCGTCGCCGAGTGCATGGAGCAGGGCCCACCGTCGAGAATGCGGCTAGTGTGGTTGGGGAACAGGTTCATTGTTACACGCGGTAAGCCCAGGCGGAGCTGCAGCTTCATGGCAAGTTGACGGTGCCGAGAATACTGAGGAAGCCCGCTGGATGGAGCAAGAAATGCGCTGGTGTCGGAATCAACCTTGCGATTCATCATGTAGACAACCTTCACTACATACTCGGACATGGCGTGAGGTCCGCGCATTTTCTGGTCCACGAAGTGACGCCTCCAACCAAATGCGAGATCATGCAAGCGTGAGATGAATCAGTCAAGCACCAAGTCTAGCAACGGAGTTGCGAAGAATTCGATGGCTAGCAGCAGGTTGGGTCCGAATCCGAGTGCAAGGTCAAAGTGCCTCGATTTGTAAAAGAATGCCAAGAGGTCCCCTCGTCGATCGGTGATGGCGACGACGTCGCCGACATCATGACTTCGTTCCTGCACTTGTTGGAACGCTGATGCGACCTCAACGAAGGGCTATCGATCGCAACCTTTGAATTTGTCCTGGCGCACGGCGGTTTCCAAGAGTTGCGACGCTGTGTGAAACGGGTCCATTTCGTAGTGTCTAAGATGGAGCAACAGTCGTTAACGACCTGCATCAGTTTCTGAGCAAGCGAAGAGGGATCGCCGTCAAGGCAGGGCGGCACAAACGCACATCAGGGCGAAAACACAACTAGGAATCGCACACAGCTTGAGATTTCGACAAGAGGGCTAGAGTGATCGAACCAGAGGCAGCACAAGGCCAGTGTGCTCGTGAGCTCTTAAATAGGATCGATAGTCAGTCCCGTGCTTTAAAAGGTCAAAGCCTTTGAACTTGCAGGGAAGGCAACTGGCGCTGGGATGGTGCGGACCGCCGTTTCAGGCCCTGTTGTTGCGCAGAAGGCGTCGGGTGAAAATATATGCAATACATCGAGTAGATCCGCCGATTGAACATGACAACGTGCCTATACCGCAGCATCATGGCGTGTTGTCTCGATTTGAACTAGCTCTCATCTCCGTCATGTCACCGTGGCGAGTTTCAAGCATGGTATTTGTGACCGCCACCACGTTCGACACGTGCCTGGTCGTTCCCACCAGCACCTTCATGGTGCGACCGGTAGATCCTCTCGACGTTTTACCGCCGAGCGAGAGAACGGTATACTTTTTCGATGACTCTCTGCGCTTCGACGAGTGCTTGAAGGCGTTGTGGATGGCGATGTGCACCAAAAGCAAGATGCGTTGCTCTTCCTCGGAGAACGACTGTCGGTGCTTGGCGTACAAGTGGTAGTACAAAGCGCACAGGACGACCAGGACGAGGGCCGAGATGACGCTGGCCTCGTCGTCTTGTTGAAATGCAATGACGGCGACCGCATTGAGCACCCACACGACAATCGCAAACGCAGCACCGACTCGCCCGAAAGGGCTGACAAACAACCGCGCTGTCCTTTTGTGATGCTTCTTGAGGAAGAGATACCCGAGGCACTGGGCCACGTACGACATGAACGCAAACAGGATGCACGTGTCGTACACAATGGTGTCCAAGGTCCACTCGTCGACGACGAAGCAAAGGATGAAGCTGGCCAACGTGCCGCTCGCGAGCGCGTTTACAGGTGTGCCGTATGACGTGTGGCGGCGGGACAGGACTGTCGGAAGCAGCTTGGAATTGGCCATCGCCACGAGGATGTTCGAGTACGACAACATGAAGCCTTCGGCCGTGGCAAACGTGGCCGGGACGGCCAAGAGGGTCGCAGTCTCGCTAGAGATGTTGAGCATTCGGGTGAATCCGCTGTTGAGCGGAGACAGTTCGGCAGACAACGTCGGCATTCCCGGAGGAAGGAACAAACAAACCAAGTACGTCCAAATAGCCGTGACAAGCAGCGTGACCATGCTCCAGACCTGTCCTCGAGGGACGGTGACCTGGGGTGTTGGCACGGTGTTGCTCAGTGTGTTGAGCGACTCGATCCCAACAAAGAACCACGCGGCTTGCGGAGAGGCTTTCATGAAGGCCGAGAACCCTCCCACCGCAACGTAGTCACCTTGAGCTGGCTGATGGAGCTCAACGAACGGAAGAGAACCCACACAAAAGAGGAGTATAATCCCCAGCGAAATCGCCGCCATCGCGCGATTCCACATCCAAAACGGACGGCCACCACGCGCCACAGGCATACACGCCACCAGATATGTCAGCGCCCACACCAAATACTTGTACTTGGTAAGGACGGGCCACTTGTCCGCCAGCATGCGACAGAGCGTGAGGCATGCACATGTCACGTACAGGATGTACTCGAGGGTTTCGCAGCACCCTAGGAGAAACCCCACGAAGAAACCCAACGTGCAGCGTCCGAGGCCGTACGCGCCGCCCGCGAATGGCATCATGCTCGTCATTTCGGCCATCGACAACGTCAGGCAAAGGTACGCTGTCCCCATGAGACTCACCGCGACGCCGTAGCTGACGCTTCCAGCAGCCAAACCTTCGTTCCATGAGAAGAACTGGCCACCAATGACGACGGACACCCCCGCGGCCCAAATGTCTACGCTCCTCGGGTACATGATGCTTGAAATGGATGGAGGTCAGTTGCCGCGACGAGGGGATCCCTGTTATGAGGGTTGATTTGTTCATGGAGACCGAAATACATCATGAAAAGGGCGTTTTGGCAACGTTGTTTCTGTTTACACTGGTGATATATCACGCTGACTTCGCCCGGTTGTCGCATGGCGTTGTGCTGCCTATGGTTCGATCACTTTAGCCCCCTCGTCAAAATCTCAAGTTGATGATGGCTAGTTGTGTTTTCGCCCTGATGTGCGTGTGCGTTTGTGCCGCCCTGCCTTGACTGCGATCCCTCTTCGCTTGCTCAGAAACTGATGCAGGTCGTTAACGACTGTTGCTCCATCTTAGACACTACGAAATGGACCCGTTTCACACAGCGTCGCAACTCTTGGAAACCGCCGTGCGCCAGGACAAATTCAAAGGTTGCGATCCGATAGCCCTTCGTTGAGGTCGCATCAGCGTTCCAACAAGTGCAGGAACGAAGTCATGATGTCGGCGACGTCGTCGCCATCACCGATCGACGAGGGGACCTCTTGGCATTCTTTTACAAATCGAGGCACTTTGACCTTGCACTCGGATTCGGACCCAACCTGCTGCTAGCCATCGAATTCTTCGCAACTCCGTTGCTAGACTTGGTGCTTGACTGATTCATCTCACGCTTGCATGATCTCGCATTTGGTTGGAGGCGTCACTTCGTGGACCAGAACATGCGCGGACCTCACGCCATGTCCGAGTATGTAGTGAAGGTTGTCTACATGATGAATCGCAAGGTTGATTCCGACACCAGCGCATTTCTTGCTCCATCCAGCGGGCTTCCTCAGTATTCTCGGCACCGTCAACTTGCCATGAAGCTGCAGCTCCGCCTGGGCTTACCGTGTGTAACCACGAACCTGTTCCCCAACCACACTAGCCGCATTCTCGACGGTGGGCCCTGCTCCATGCACTCGGCGACGACTGTCGATGTTCAGAATGAACAGAAATGCAGACTCTCACCACACAGATATGTGGCTATGAAAATTGTGTAGCCAATACACGAATTTACAACTTTATTCACCAGCACCCGGAAAGCCAGAGGAAGGCAATCCACATGACGTAGTTGCATGCAACAAACGAGCGACCATGTCGACAAGGCGACGAACGATATCCCGTCCGTCCGCAGTTGATCGTGATGCAACAAGAGCTCACTTCATCGTTCATTAGGTACTGTGATATGGCGGCTCGTTTAGCCATGGGCTTTTGGCATGTTAACGCTCGATAGGTTGAAGGAGTGTGTTTTCATACATTATCGCACGCGTTCACATACAAACTGTGCTGTGCATTATGAAATTGCTCGGCAACGATTTCTGGCATCATGCAAAACGTTTGACGGCAGCTACAACAAAACCGGAAGCAGTACAAAGTACGTATGGCGTTCGAGGGTTGGGTCGCCAATCGAGCACGTGTCCAAGACAGCGTTCGGCGAATTCGCCGTCATGGAAGGCACTCGGACACACCACGGCGATTGGGATGAGCCGTGCACGGCGTGCTGGAGCTCGTAGAACAAGAGCTTGCTCACGGCTGTGGTGTACTGGAGAAATCGCCAGTGTTGGCTCACATCCGAGGCGTTGCAGGGCGAGCCGCCTACAAAGTGGTGTCCCATGTCTACAATCCAGTGGGCGTACAAACACAGGTGTGTAAAGTTGTTGCGGAGTTGGTAGGTTGACTGGTCTCGGGATATCCGGCTGACGGTCCACACAATGAACGGGTGCGGCTGCACGGTTGCGACCGTCGCCCCGATGTCCAACATTTCGATCCCGTTGTCGTCTCCTGTCACAGACAAGAACTCGTTGTAGAGGCCGATTGCTCCTTGAGGAAGTTGTGAGGTTGTCACGAGCGCTGCATGCTAAATCACGAACGCATGTAGTGTCACCAGTGGCGCGGTATGGTCGACGCGCTGGGCGGAGTTCAAAGCTGTGCAAATGGAAGCCACGACAAGGCCAAAGCTGACATGGAGCGCTGCCATCGTCATCCCTTTGAAGGAGGTTGGAAAATGGAGATGCACCATTGCAGCGCGGCGAGCTGTAGTGTTCAGCTCTGTTGAGCGGTTGAAGAACCGATCGAGCTCAAGTTGCCTCGACTGCTGTGGCGTCGAGTGCTTGGACTGAACGCAAGGAATCTCGGTTCTTGGCAGACACCGCACGCAGCCGCTCACCATGTTGAATCGACGGCAGCGGAAGCAGTCTATGCGATTTGCAGCTTCTTGCCTGGATCACCTACTGTTGAGCATGTCGCCAGCTGTGTTACGCGGGCACAATAGAGAGCAAACGCAGAGCTTCGGCTGCTTGCTGTCCGAGAAAAATCTCCACCGCAGCTCTCTGGATATTGCTGCCCTGCATTCACACCCATAGCCCCATTCGACAGACCCTCCACCGTGGCCGCCCCAAATATACGGGGAGCGTTGCACTGGATGTCACCCCAGCTCTGCTGCTGAAGGCTGTATCGGGCCTGTGCAGCCGGGGACTTTGTAATTTCGTG